GGGCCCGATACCCACATTTCTTATCATGCCTTTGACTACCAATTGCTGAGGCTAAGTTCTGTGTGAATGCAGGCAAGACTGGGGCCCCTTAGCCTTTATAGGGCAGCCCCAGGGAAATGGGGTAACTCTAGTTGTGAGTACTCAATTGCATGTTTAAGGAGTTAAGACCCAAAAGCAGGCATGCAAAAAAGAAATTAAACAAGGGTCTATTCAAAAGAAGTGTATTTATAAGGGAAGATTGAGAGAGGACGTTCATTGGCTAACATGTCCTACCAGCAAAGTCATCTGAGCTGGGACCAGCGTGGGCCAAAGCCAAAATATTAAGAGAGTGAGAGCACTCACATGTTCTTTTTAAAGCCCAACCTGGCCACTTAGCACCGCCCCTATTCCCAGTGGCCCCCGTTCAGGAAACCAGATTCATGGCAAGCTGGGAACTGTTAATTCTCAGCACCTAAACTCTTGTTGGGCATGGAGGTGGGCCTGGAGTCCATCTCGGACATCACTCACTGGCTCTGTGTTTGCTGACTGTCCCTCTAACACCACTGCCACCCAGGTCCCACTTCTGAGACCAAAGGTCACCCTTGGGCCCCACTGACCCTTACTCTGGCTAAGAAGACTGGTATTCTGAGCTAAAGGGAAAAGTTAAGGTGACCGAAGACTGTGGCCCTCTTCTCCAAGAGCTAAGCTCTTAGTGTGGGTGTGTCAGTCACAGAGAAGTGCATCATTGCAACCTGCCCCCAGTCATGCTTTTGGAAGAGAAGCTCCCATGGCTGGGGGTTCAGAGATGTAGTGATGCTCCCCCCTCCCCAGCCCCCTGCTCTGCTGCACCCTCAACATGAGACAGCCAAAGCCACCACAGGACAGGTTTCATGCGCCCATGGGGTTTGTGGTTTAATCCCTCAGGTTTCAAAGATGCACTGGGAGGGTTTAAACCTGACAGGTACCATTCAGTTTTGAAACTGGCACAGTTTTGGAAGGGAGCCAGTTAGGCTCGAAAGGCTGACACCCCTGAAGGGGCAATCATCAAGGCAGCAGATGGCTTCATTCATTGATCAAGACCTTCATTCAGCGAGACCTCTGCTGTACATGCTCATTTACCCAACTTTTGCATCTGGTCTCTCTCCAAACTGCTGCCTGACCACACCCTGTGACTGCCTGACTTTGTTCTTGCCTCTGGCTCTGTTTCTTTACTGCCTGCTTCTAGATGCTGTTGGCCTGTGCCTGGTGCCTTTGAAAGAGTTGTACACTGGTACTGGCCCCTCCACATTGCTGCCCTCTGACCAGTACTGCTGGGCATTGCTGACCTGTTTCTGGCTACCTCGAAGAGCTGTCCACCACTTCTGATCCTGCAGCACCACTGTCTAGCTACTGCTCCTGCCTCTAGCATGTCTGGCACTGCCTCCTGGTTCTACTGCATCTGGCACATCCAGATGCCCGGCCTTTGGGTTGCTGCTGCCCTGCTGACTCCACAGCAGCGCCTGTGACTACATCTAGCTGCCACTGTGAGGAGAGCCTGGTGTCCACTGAATGGTGTGGCACCAGCCTCTGTAGGCTCTCATCAAAGATGGACAATGCCATCTTGTGTAAGTAGCTTTTGGACTGGACACTGTGGGCACTGTCTGGGATAGGACAACCAGCCATTTATGACCTTAGGAACTCTTTCCTTTTTCCCAAATTCTGCTTTGTTAATAACCCCTGTTGTAGCACCCCTAAGTCTGAGTCCTGTCTTGCAGTTGTAAGCCCACAAGTAAGGACCCACAAACCTTGACATATCCCCAAGTTTGCATGGTTTCACTTTTGTGCTAGAGAAGAGGTAGGTTAGAGAAGGGAGGCATATTTTCCTTCTCCAAAGAAAGGGGCTTCTTTAGCAGCTGATTGTGGGGAAATTCAAGCCTACGAGAACTCTAAAAAATAGAGGTTGTAGTGAAAATCAGTTGAAAAGGGACTGATACAATAATAGGAAATACAGGTTAAACTGTAGGCTGTTAAGTTTGCTGGAGACAAACAAGGAAAGAGCTATCTGGGAGGAGCCTTCCCTAAGTCAGAACAAGCCTCAAACACTGGCCTCAGGGAACATTCCTTAAAAAAAGCCCAAACTAGATTGGATCTGTTTATGGAACAATCTATACGCCAGAACATTGTTGAAAACAATATTGCAATCTGCCAGCAATTAGTGGAACTTCACCTGTGAGGGTGGTCAAGTCAAATAGTGTTCTGCCCAACCACTGTCCTCTCAGAGCAGCTATAGACACACCTAAGGTAGTCCTGGTGGGTTTCAACTCTAGGGAGCACTTCACTAATCCAGCTCATCACTAAATAATTAAACAAGCAACCAACTCCAGAAGACAGCAGGGGCTGATACTTAGAGTTGCTACAATATATTGTCTAAAATATTCAGTTTCTAATAAAAATTACAAGATACACAAAGAAGCAGGAAAGAACAAGCCCACATACCAGGACAGAAATTAGGCAGCAGAAACTGCTACATAGGGACCAGATGACAAATTTAAGAAAGAGTTCAAAATAGGCAACATAAGAAGTTTAAATATGTGAATACATAAATAGTGCATAGTAATAGTTACTTAGTTTTACAGAATTAGGGAAAATCATAACTAAAGAAAGCAGAGAAAGGTGTGATGGCAACATCACATCAAAATGCAGATGGTTAAGAAAGAGATGGAATTGTTAAACAACAACTGGAAGTTCTGGAATTGAAACATACAATTCCTGCGATCAAAAATCACTACTGATGTTCAACCATAGATTGAACTGGCAGAAGAAAAATGACTTAATTTAAAGATTAATTGATAGGGCCTCCCTAGTGGCAGGGGTTAACGTCTCAGCACTATCAAGGTATCGGCAGCCACTGCAGCAGGAATTCTATCTCCAGTAGGGAGCTAATCCATACCGCACAGCAGAACTCTACTTCTTGCCCACTGCTCCCCTCAGCAGTGCCGATCCACTTGTTCTGCTCCCCACTATGCTTCTGGAAGGAGGCACCTCCCTCAGAAACTGGGAGATAAGGTACTCCTCCCTCAACGTTTCTATTTTGAAGAGATGGTGCCAAGGTCTTTGAAAAAGATATTTCCAGGCCATAAAGTTGACAAATGATTTATTATCCTGAAAAAGGATTTATATACACATTTCCAAGAAAGGAGGAAGTATATACACATTTTCTAAAGTAAATACTCAAAGTAAACAAAGGGGAAGGAGATCTTTTAAATGGGGAAGAGGAGCCCTCTTTTAATTTGTAATTGTTTTGCAATATCTCCTGTTTGATGCTCTGAATTCCAAAAATCTGTGGGGAAAGGGGAGTACAGGGATGAGTTAGTCTCTAGACAAAAAACCTATATGACAAAGTCATTTTAATTTTTTTCATTTCACAAAATCATTTGAGTACGCTCTCTCTCTCTCTCTCTCTCTCTCTCTCT